ACATTACACACCACTAAACAAAGAGCAAACTTGTACCACTGTGAAAGATGATTGCCTAGTGCAAATCACCAAAGGCAGTGGAGATTACATCAGATCATGAGAAATATAAAACATCCAGAGTTATCTCCGCATAACGGAGTACTCGCGCATATGTATGTAAATGTAGACAAACTTTCGTTGCTTAGATGCAGGTTGTGCATATGTAACACATATTTATAATACAATTCTTCTGCAAGGGAGATCCATTGTCGCTATCAAACTGAGCGACCTAAATCAACCGATTGAAGATTTTGCGCCTTAATAAGTGTATGTTGACGGTATTCACTCGCTCGAGTCAGTTCTCACTGCCTCGCTAGACGGCAACAGCTTAACGACGATGAGCCCCTCAGACTGTCGTGTTTTTCCCTCCATCATGAGCACTAGCAGGAGCGACCGGCACAGTCGCGGCCGTAACTGACTCGTCTGTTTGTACAGGGTCGATTCGTAGCTGTTCTCCCGCATATTGTTTGCTTTTATTGTACTCTTTGACATCGCTGTCGCTTTCGTGCGTCGTATTGACTTTGCTGTGTAGGGTCACCGGCAGTCATCGCAGGCGTCGCGTCATCGACTCGCAAACAGGTCAACAATCAAACTAAACCAAGCCAGTAGCATCATCACGTAACAACAGTAGCGTGTGAGTTAAACGAAATGAGATGATTGGACTACTGCGGATAAAGCGTGCGTCTCCGCCGCCGCCTGCTATCACTACGGCCTGTTGGCGTAAAAAGCAACAACTATCAGAGAAACGCAGCTAGGCGGCGAAGAGGCAAATAAGCGCATATCAAGCCGGACAGGCAAGAAGGCAGATAAACAGACAGGCTCATCGGCCTGCCTGATTACATCCGAGCTGGTGCTGCAGCTACGAGTAGCTGTCGCACTGGCAGCGCCATTCGTTTACGAAAAGCGAGCATTAAGCTGTGTACGACCACGAAACCACGAAGAGACGTGACTGGCAATGGTCAGAAAGACATACTCGACCACTACTAGTCAATTGGCTACATTGCGTCACGAGTAGCGGTCGCGTCGTCCATGGCATGCCAAAGGCACCGCCGGCTTAGCAGCATCCAGACAGGCGGCGAAGAAAAATTTTGTCCGTAGTTTTCATCTTCGCCTCGTTTCGTGTCTCTTCTTCCTTTTGGTTGTTTCGTTTGATATCAAAATCAAATTTTTGCTGGCAATGATCATCCGCGGTTCCAGCAGTCTGCAGACTGCACCCCTTGTACATACATGTATTGGACAGAAGTCAGTTCGGCCATGAATGTTACTACAACTACGGCTACGCTTGTAGTACTAAACATATTCCACTGCATAATACGTACACATTACATTGTTTTGTCTTCGCTATAGTATTTAAGTAGTATATCCGTGTATACAATGTAAAAGGCTTCAGAAAACGGCTCCGACAAATGAGATTTTGTGTGGGTGAGCTTAGTGATAAAGAAACTTTTTTTTTGGCAGAACTTGCCTTTATGTTGAAGAGTTTTAAAATCAGATTGGTTAGCAAATACTGTCGCCGAGTTGAACGACATATCATTTTTTACAACTGGTTGAAATATGCTAAACTAATCCAATGCGCATCCCGTGTTGTACGATATATTATCGCTTATTAGCTCTTCTACACTTTTATCGGGTGAAGTTTTTATTGGTTCGCATATGTCAGCACGACTGTCTTTAAACAGTTTCAGCTCAGCTCTATCTGTCGAGCCGTATTAAAAAACCGCGGCGGAAAAATCGTTTTTAGTAAGCCATTCGAAGACAGTGCTCATTAGAAAGTGATAAGTGGTTGTTAAACCAAGGATGAGTACTAGTGAATCAGTGTATAGGAGAGGGCATTTGTCGACACTGGCCAACTGCCTAGTCCCACCCACATTAACTAGTCCACACGCGAATCTCGACAGCGGCTAGAAACGAAAGTAAATTGGGGAAACAATTTTGTGACCTTTTTTTCTGACGCTATCACTAAGCATTTTAATAATTATAGATACCACGTCGTGTTTTTACGCTCGATGAGCAAGGATTATTAGATCTAAATCGATTGCTTTAATTGGAAGTTCTTAAGTCCCGAATCTCGTGAGCTTAAAAACGAAAATAAAATTATCGCCATTTTATTGATAATACAATTAGCAATCAAGTTAGGAGTGGATCATGTAGACAAACGGGCAACAACGATAATTAAACAACAAACTTCTTTTTATAAAAACAATAGGTTTTATACGCTTAGTATAGTTCGTATAACACAGATAGGTAATTTTTTGTTACAGCATGCTTAAGTGTCCATATGAAATAGATTTGAAAAAAGTTCCCTGACTCGCCTATATTGACTTCAAAGGCAGTTTTCTGCCGGCAATTATTTACTTACAACTTGCCTTTCTGGTGGTGCAAGCCTCTATATCATTGACAGTTGCTGCTATATTGAATCTTTTTTGAGTATACAATAAAAAATTACATCTTAACTGATGTCGAACGTACCCAGCAGTGGATTCACTTAAGTCTGTTTCTTTACTTCCATTAAATCATGTGTAAGATAAAGTAACCTAAGTGAGATATTGCTGTGACAGCAGGCATTATCCGATCCCAACCCTTCACGAAGGCATAAATCTTTTCCTTTTAGTAGGTGGTTGCAAAAGAGAAACTAACGATAAAAATGTCCTCTGAATCTATAAATATTGCCTTCCCACTGCAACGACTCCTTTCACCTAGAAATATTACCCTTGTGACCCTCAAAATTCGCTCAGTTAACTACAGCGCTGTGCAAACGGGCAGGTAGCAACTCTTCGCTGTTAACTTCGCGAAACCCTCGCTTCGAATCAGCGTTTGCTTTTTATTCTCTTCGCCTCTACTATACTACCATTTGTTATACTATGAAGCGGCCCGTCGCCTTCCTCCACTGCGTTGGGCATCGCTGGTAATAGAATTCTACGCAACGCGCGTTGGCAGGCAAAAAAGGATCGCACGATTAACACACAGCCAGAGAAGTTTTCTGAGAAGGTGGCTTACACTTGGATAAATCAACGACAGAGAACGGTTTGTGCGACGGGCTCAAAAGAAGATGATATTTACGATCATGCAAGTGTTATTGTCACTTTGTTACTAAGGCTAGCGGCAACACCTATAGCATTTGTTTCATCGTAATCAAAGATTATGATTGTTGATATACATATACAACCTCTGCCGGTATCACCGTACTCAGTCGAACATATTTATGAGAAACATATTTCCGTTTCTATAACGGCCTTTGAAAATAGCAGATCCTTTTTCTTTCTTTCTGAGCAGCAAACTTAAAGAGAACAAAGAATCACACATGCCAGCCAAACATACGATTGTTGTACCGACACCGCCGCAGAAACTACGCGTGAGTCAATACGTGAAAAAGGAAAAAGAGACAGCCGGGAAACCTGAATACGAAAGCGTTAACAGTAGTAGTCGTACGAGCAGTGGCGTTCAACAACAGCAACACAGCAAAGAGCTCGACAGGGGTATCACAACAGAACACTCAATAGGCTCTGTCCGCCCTGACACTCAACACACGGCTGCTCTACTGTCTTTCAGGCGCTGGCGAAAACCTCGCCCTCGAGTAGTGTACTATGTCTGCCTCTGCTGCAGCAACTGGCTGTGGCTGACTAGGCCAGCGACAAAAGCAACGGCAGCGGCTATAAACAGGCCGTAACTATAGCCGACTACACCACTAGCGCAAAGAAGTAGCATGGGTAGCTTCTTTTGTCTTCTAACCGTTGGCTGCTGCTATACATCTTTCCGTGTTCTTCACGTGTCCGCTCCGTGTTATTTTTTATTCGGCGGTCTTTTGTCCTGCTGGTAAAGGAGTTTGGTTTGGTCCTGACGTGGGCGGGTAATAGCGTCACAACTTCCAACTGCGCACGGCACCCTCGTCCTCTAAGACCCCTTTCATTGTGCCTTGCTACGATATTGTTATACGATGATTAGAGTTCCTAAAACCGCAAAGGCAGAATTATTTTCGGTAGACAAGAATTTGTATCTCCGCCTCTTGCATACGTACACGTAACACATTCGATCGGCATAGAACGCGAACGACACCGCATGTTGTGCTCCCCAGGGGCCGGCGCTCACGTGCCGCATAGATCCTTCTTGCTTGGTAAAAATTTTGTGGCAATTAATGACAACAGGACCCTGCTCAATGATGTTGCCTTTTTAATTCATTTTTCCTTGACAATTGCATTATTGTCTGCACTTCGCGAAGCAGAGAAAGAAATAGTCTCACCTCGTCTAATCCCTTTTTATAACGGTTGCCTGTAGTGTCATACAATCATTTTTCCGGGAGGTTTCTCCGCAAGCGCGATTAGAATGCTCCCCGTACAAGACACGCCTGTTAATCTTCTCTAGCTAATGAATTGCATTACACCTTACTGAAGGGGTACGCACGAGACACGTGGGCCATCATAAATATGTAGCGATAGCCGTGCAAGTATAGCGCACGAGGACTATTCAATATTAATAATCACGCAACTTATTGTGTCAGATAGATATTGCGTTAAGAGAGTGAAAATGAGAGAAACAAAGAAGAAGCGAGATAAATTCAAATAGCAAGAAAGCGAGCCCGAACACGGTCGGCTACACCTGAGGGCGTTCTTCATCATACATCTACACACCGATTCGAATCAAACGTAGTTTGGGGTTCACTTTAATCAGGCCCTTTCTGCTGCTGGTGCTGTTGTTACGTCCAGCTTGCCTCGATCCTACCCAGTTTACCTGGCCTCTGCATAGGAACTCAACCGCCTATAATCGTAAAACACCGCAGCGCCATCAGCCACGGATAACTTGAGCTTTTCTTAAATTTTTACCATATTCCAATGTGATATCTAGAACTAAAATTATCCACCATGATCACGAGCCATTATAGGCACTATGTACCGAATTGATAGCCGACTATGTCACGAAGATTGCCATTCAGGGAAGATTCGTCGACCAGACGCGCACACACTTACGCATTAACAACGCATCAGCAACACATCGCAGATACACGGTTGCAATGGCAGCGAATGAGCGGCCACAGAAAAAAAGTTCTGAAAAGGTTCCGAAAAGCTGCGTCGTGTTTATACATCAAAGAAGGATCGGTGGCGGTGTTATGTTGGTCTGTGTTTCACCAGTGGGACCTTCTATGCTTATGCGCTTTTGAGATATCTGCAAAACGCGTACACACGCATGGAGCAACTGACACGAACGCTGTCTTTGTATAAAACAGAGTTGAGCACACATGTTGTGTTGTTGTACCGAACTGTACCGCGATTTCAGTGTAAGCAGTCTCTAAGCAGCACGCGATCACATAACCTAATTGGCAAACTCAGAGACGGCAAGACTAACGTAGAGTACTACCGAGAGTGCTACCAGAACTGACGGCGACGGCGGCACCAGCGATAATAGCAATTGCGCTCATTGCTGATAATCGGCTAATCGTTTGCTCGTTGCGCAGCTCACATAAACGACCAACACTCATACACACACGAAACAGCCGTAAGTTAAACGCGGTCAGAGCACAGGCGACGAGAAGACAAGCGCGATGATGAAACGCAGCTTAGAGATATACACGCAGCCGCGTTAGCACTCATTCTATCGAAAATAGCATTTGCTCGACGTCGAAATTGTCTGTCTTTTCGTTTGTTCCTTCTGACTGCTGCTGCTGCTGCTTCTTGGCGGCTGTCGACAAAGCCGTGATGAGGGACATCGATACGTTCTGACTGCGGGATAAAGTCAACACACACCTATAGGTTGGTTAGACTGTGCGAAACTCACCTTCGATGAAAGAGATCGTTCGATGCACGAGACTGTACAGGATTCCAGTCCAGCTTCGCAGGTCACTTAAATCACCAACTTGTCGAGCACAATTAAGCAAATCCGTATCGAAGAAAAACCGGCCCAATCTACTTGGGCCTCACAAGATCACAGCAGCGAGCGTACAACAACGATCAATGCGTAAAATTCAACCTGCGCCAGGATGATGCGCTGCGCAGCGATACCACGCGGCCGTTGGCGGGAGGTTTTGAATTTGTAATGCAGTAAGACATCTCCGTAAACTAGTTCTGGACAAACATTGCTTGTGGCCACTTCAGATCAAGGATTTATTGAAGTAGAAAACGGATGTCGCACGTTGATAGTGGCAATTAAAGTGTTGGAAACATAGATTATTAAAAATGACTGCATAGTGTAAAATGACTCAGTTGTTTGAAAATATGCGGGGCAAACAATGCTCGCTAAGTCATCCCCGTTGGAAGGTCGATATCTACGTTTTGTTTTGGGGACTTTGCAAGGACTCTGTTGTGCATACTCCGGACCATAGAAAAGCGCACATAATACTTACGGTAAAAAAGAATTGAGAAAAATGATTACTTCTCGCATCCTCACGAGACTAACCAGGCCAGTTTTGGAACTGGAGGCACAGCAGGCCAGGTATGAAACAAACCTAGATATAATAGCCTTTTCCAAAATCTTATTGCTGTACATGCAGGTGTGAAAATCTGGATAGGTGATCACGATGATCCTGAAGTGATAGTATCATTACGTTATTATTGCTATAGTATGCTAGGTCACGGAGTTATCTGGATATGATTTTGTCTCGTTCAGCCTAATAGAAATTTAATTGCAACATAGATTGATTATTAAATTTTAGACATATTTAACTTGGTTTTTTAAACTTTATATAAGTAGATTGACGGACTCTTGCTTTCATAAACCAAGTGCCATATTAGATCTATATATGTGCAATTTAGAGGAATGCAGTTCTCAGCTAATCATTAATTCCGGACCAAAAGGCCACATCTATTAAAATCATGAGCTTCGTATGTAGAAACCTTACTAGCACAATGCTCTAAGCAGTAAAATGATAACTTTGTATAATTTCCATAAATGTCATTTGTAAAAATTGAAAACTCAACAACTAATTTATATTGGTTGATATTTTCGTTAAAATGTTCATTCATCAGTGACCAAAAAGTATTTGGCATCCGCTTGTATATTTAGAGTCAAATTGCGACTGTGCCCTTTTCACCTTTGTGTGGTATTCCTTTTTCGATAGAATCCATATCCAGTCATAGTGCCGTTATTGTATTGACCTTGTTGCTCGGACACACTCTATATTAATGTAATCCATCCAGAACTGACTTGATTTGCTTTTAGAGGGCACACGAAGACAAGACGAACAGCAATTTCGGTCTCATTGAATTAATTCCATATGGCCTACTGTAATGCGGTTATAATTTTTGTATAAGTACTTCCAAAACATAATATTATTTTTATAATTATACTAGTCAATTGTAGTTATCTAGAAGCTAAGCGGATCGGTCCTCCACAATAGCATGTCTTTCTTATGCGAGCTCATTGTTAAATACACCTAAGCTTGTTGATTTGTATTTCGAGCAGGAAGTTCGGAAATCTTGAAACCATCGAACATATTAAGAAACTGCAGAAAAGGTTCGCAATCAAGGACGGCGTCCCCCTGTATCTAAAGAGGGGTTTGCCAGACGCGGTAAGTTCCTGATTTATATATACATATATTTTAGCTTTAGTTCAATATTTACATAATAACTGTGCATGAGGAACACCGAACCTCTACCACTAATTTTTAGTCATTCTTTTCTTGTTTTAGCCTATTTGAATTTGAGTAAAGTAAAAGTAAATATATACTATTATTAATAATATTTCTCTTAACCCTGATAATAGTATTAATAATAAATGTCCTGCAATAATATTAGCAGCTAATCGTACTGCTAATATTATCGGACGCATTAAATTTCTAATTGTTTCATTTACTACTACAAATGACGCTAAAAAAGAGGTGTTCCTATTGAAACTAAATGTGCAAATATCTGTCTAGGAAAATTAAACCAACCAAAAATAATAAGTGCTATTCAAATACACAACGGTAATCTTATCGTTACTGACATGTCTCATAGAAAGAAAAATATAAAGCAACAAACCTAGTAAATTATTATTAAATAAATAAAATACTAAAAATTTATTTACATTTCTTAATTATCATTTCTTTTAGTGAAGCATCCATTACTACTGAAGGAATAAATATAATTAGAGACTTTATCTTTCAAAATAAAAAGAAAATAAATATTTTTATTGAGATGAGATTTCTGCCTTGTCAAAAATATAAACAAAATATAACTGGAAATCTGTTCTGTATTCCCTATTTACAATGTATCACCCCGTCGGCCTTTCCCATAAACTTTTTACCACGAAAATCGATTTCTGATATATAATTGAGCAATATTTTGTTTAATTGTGAAGCCAAATTGAAAATAATATGTGTGCCAATGATTAATTGGAATCTTAATGTTCAAATTTCTATAATCTGTCAATATTAAATTTATGGTTAATCGGATCAACGAAGGTTTCTACTTGCGTTCGCCTGCGCGAGTGTGTTTGTTGAGCCGTCCGAGCTGAAGCCTACGTCAAGTTACTATGAGAACGATATAGGTAATACGACGCAACGGGTGAATGAATTAAAAACGGCTGCATTCTATTCTAAAGTATATATTTCATCAAAAAGGCCTCTCTGCGAAATCAGGAAGTCATGGCATACGTTCTGATCATTTCATTTGATCGCTTATTTTAACTGGAATATATTCTAATTCTTATAAAATAATTTACTGAAGTTGACTACGTTCCTTTCATTTTTATTCTGATACTTCAGATTCTGCACAAGCTGTCGATGATTGGTGTACTGGGCGGTACCGCTTACTCGTATTACATGCTGTTCCTGTTGGCCTACGGCAAGGCGAAGTAATATGTTCAAGTCACAAATAAGGTTGAAGAAGTACATTTTTACAATTAGGTCGTCATGGTGAATATATCGTAGAATTATAAATAAAACAAACAAGTTAAAAATAATTTTATGTTAATTGTACTCGTTTTTTGGTCTTTTTGTCTCTAATCTACAAGCTATATACCGAGATAAAAAAAGAACTTGTAAAATTTGACTATTCTATTTTGTTTGTGAACTTTTGAAGCCCGGGCTACGAACAACAGAAGTAATACCTATCGGAAGCTGTTATTTGCAGGACGTTTTGTTTTCAGTTTCTTAAGCAAAAAGCAACACAGAGGTTACATATGATATGAAATTAATTTCTCCTCAAAAAATACTTTTACTACATCTGATACGACGTTAAGCTATTTTGAGATCGGCGTTCAGTTTTATGAATGTTATTTGCGACTGTATGACCGTTAACAACCAAGAACATGATTAGCTAGTGTTATATGTTAGCATTTACATTGAAATTCTCAGTTCGTTGTTTCTAAAAAATGTTTTCATTTTCAATCAGTGAATTAGCGGTGTGTGCGCTCGGGCGAACATCCGAAGGTAAGGGAAATGCTAAAAAAAGAAAAATTTTCCCTGTGGTGCCCGTAGCTAACAAAAACGCTATATTCTAAGAACGCCAGGGTAAAGACACTTCAAAATTACTTTCAATCTTTTTGAAGCCACCTCGTATGATGGGATGAAATTATTGCTCCAAGCACTTTGAAGTAACTTGCATCTTGCCTAACGCAGCATTGCGTAAGTGTGGCTAGCAAGGATTTATGTACAATCGTTCTCGAGATACGGGTGGTGTCGATTTCTTTAAACAGGCATCCCAAGAGTAGAAGGTATCGACCTAAGAAGGCTGATGGTCAGAAATCTGATCTATGCGACACGAGCTATGTTGAGGTTCGCTATTCATGGATTGGTGGCCTGCTCAATGCACTGCTACAAACATACCATATTGAGAGAAATGTATAACGAATATGTCTATGTAGTTACTTTCACACGATAAATATGATTTCGAGCTTAATAAATCAATTACATGGTTTATGTAAATAGCATTCAATGTATATATAATACAGATTAGAACGGTAAAAATAAGCATAGCCGTACTGTACATGGAGCAAATTTCGATCATACTCTAAAAAATACCCGTTTTAGGGTCCGCAGTTTTACATCGTTGTCCGTAAAACGTAAATAGCACTTCCTTCAACACTATTATCATTTAGCTAACGTTAAAACGCAGTGTGGTTTAAGTGCCACATCGTATGAGCACTTCGCAATAAGTATATCTTTACTAAGATGAACCCGCCTTTAAATGTAGTAGACAGATATGTTGCCATTGGGTTATCCCGGGGACCACTTCTTCAACCAGTAGACATAGCATGCAATTTACATTTGTGTTTTTCCAATCCTTCAACCTCGTCGGCTTATTGATAGCATGATTTATTCTAAGCTTTACGATTAGGAACCTAGCTCATGGAGCCAGTGGCCGAGCTTGTGGGGTAACTCAACTATCGGCAAAATAATAAGGAAGTTAACGGTATGATTCTAGTAAACATAGATAAAAAAAAAAACTGTTACCAAAAATTGTAAAACTCTTTTGAAGTTGGTTGTTGATAACCTTAAATAAATCTTCCGAGTTTCATGTATCGCAGTGCCCTCGTTGATCGCTGTTTTAGACAGTCAACTTCCGCCACGAAAGGAACAGTGTCTACGTGTGGTTTTAAACATATACTACTCCATGTGTTGGTACCTTTGAAACACAGGCGCCAATTTTCGTGTAATTGGTTGCTTCTCATACACCTCAATACAAAATTCCAGATCGGTTAATTTTGTTATGGCAAAACATATTCTGCCCCAAGCAAAACGTTTATCCATTCTTCATAGTGCTCGACAACCCTTATCAATGCACAGAACTTTCTCATTAAGTACCTTCATTTTTTTAAACAGCAACAGGAAAACGGGTCAATAAGTCATTACATGCATTCCTAACGATAACTTTGGCAAGGCCTATTTTTTTGCTGTATATCATCATCAAAACTTTGCTGGGCCTTTTTAGAGGTGAGGAGTGAAACAAAATTCATGCACAAGATAAATTTAAGGTAAGAAAAAAGGTTTTTTGTTCAAATAAATTAGGTGCCTTTTTCTCTATTTTGAAGTTATTTTTTCTAACGTCGTACTTGAGTCTTACAATTACAGGTTTTTTAGTTCGTCCTTTTAAATACTCAGATGATGCATTGCGCTCGAGCATGCTGCCCATTAGCACATAACCCTCGTACAATCTCACCGCTGTCACAAAATAGCAAAAGGAAAACAAAGCGCTTGATACTTAAATGTATAATAATATTGGCTGTACGCCTATTTATTTACATCTATCTGTAAGTAATAGTGTGTTAGTGGCGAAAGGAAAATCGGATTGCAGATAAAAAGTACAAGATCTTTGGGAGCGGTAACACATTTTTCCTTCGACAATTTGGAGCTTTAGCTAGGTCCGAGCGCTTAACTCAGGGTTTGCTACATAGGCGTAGCATTAATAAAGACGTTCCCTGGCTTCAGTGCCCAAGAAATTATTTCAGGATATCACAACCTCGGCAAGTATAATACATATAGTTTATAAAATCCTTATGAAATTACGGAACCATTTTGGCAAAGACTTGTTGACTTTAGTGCTAGATGTTACTAGGACATGAGGCTGTTACTTTGTTATGATAAATACGTTACTGCATGCAGAAACGGAATCGGTCATTGAGTTCTATCAGTGTAATAATTAATACGATATATTGCCATAATGAGAAACTGTCGTATCTATATTTATGGGCCGGTTATAAGTTGTGGTGTCTTTCGTTCTATCTGAACTCATTGAACATGTTTTGCATGTTTATATTATGCAATGCATAACAAGTTTCGATGTTATGGAATACTAAGTCTCACTTAATATAAAGACTACTCCTCTCAAATGTCAGCCTGCACCGCATGCGAATATTTGTGCTATTTGCAGGAGAAAGCATATTTGGTAGTTCGTGAGATAAACTACTGGGTGTTTCAGGAGAAGCAACCGGAAAATTACTTACCTATCTTCTATCGAACAACAATAATAAAATACATAAGTAAGGAGATATTCATATACCTCTATCATTTCTGTTTATTCTACAGCCAGGTTTCTAATATTCAAGTTATTTATAAGTCGTATTGTAAGATTGAGCCTCGTGCATTACACTTTATTGCATTTTAACGTGAAGTATAAAGGCCGCCCTTATTTACCACCTCAGACCATAGGCCTTGTAACGGCTTGCAGGATGCGGTTTCCATTTTTATCGCGTGAGACACATTTTTAGTTCAGGAATGATCGCTTCAATAAAAAAAAAACTGCTGAATTCTCCGGAATCTACAAATATGTCTACTTACATATGTTATAACGAAAGCGTTGGAAGGCCAAAGAGTTTTTGGAGGATTATACAGCGTTGGAAAGCCTAGTGACTGAAATTATCTTTAGTAATCAAGTATAGAACAAATCTTGGAATGAGGTAATGTCACAGTAACACGTAATGTGGGTAATTAAAAAGATTTTTAGTAGTTTGGTCAAGGTTAGACAAGTTTTAAAAGGACTAAAAGGTTATACAAGAGAGGAGCGGCGAAGAAGCAAGAGAGAGGGAATCCGGCTAATGGCGGTGAGAGAATCAGGCTTATGTGTCACGACTAGTCTATCAGTTGTATGAGGTGTGAAAGAAAGGCCAGGTTCGGATGGAGTTTGATCACCGTATAATCTGTACAGAACTGTCATGAGTATGTAAAAAAATCTCTTGAAGTGAATATAGAGTGTCGTCATTGGTATAATTTTCTCGACTCAGCAAACTTAACGTCTTTTTTTATTAATTAGTGAAATTACACCAAAATTACGGCTTTTAATTACGGCAATATAATATTAGTTTTATGAATCTTTCATGCCGTTACTATAGTGTAATCTATGGTATTCGTGAGCTGAGTTAAGCCGCGAAACAGTATAAGAAAAGCGTGTATTTCTAGCGAAATAATTGAAGCTACACCCTATTTTTAATGCATCCACCTTTTAATATCAAGCATTTATAAACCATCTTCAAAGAAGCCTTTTCAAGGGCTTATTTCTATTTTTGGGTATTAAATCGAGGTTTCCGTTCATTTTTGAAATTAAGATTGCATGCTAATAAGTATTTTGCATTCTCGCATCATATGTGGGTTGACAGGACTGCTATAAGTATAATAATAATTATTATAATTTGAAGATGTTAAAGGCAATTTTTTTAAAGACATGCCTTAGGTGATTTAACGAACGAACGAGGTCTTCTGAGGTGATTTAACGAATGTAAACGGCTTACGTTGTTATGATTAGATAGGCACACGACGTTTACAACACCTGCTCAACTTCTATCGGGCAAATATTTCGAAGTTAAAGCCTCTGAGTTAGACGCTGCCTTCTTGTATTTAACAATACCCAGACACAGTGACAGATGAGCCTAGCAGTAATTCGTCCTGAAAAAAAATATTGCTGTCCCGTGTTATACAGGGCGAAGCAAAAGTTGTTGTTACAAAGGAAAAGAAGTGAAATATTCAATTGGAAAAGTGTTAACACCTGTTACATCTTTCCTGACGATAAACCTACTTTTGCGTCAAGTAAACAGGTCATCGGCACCTAAATAGGTCTGGTTCAGGTGATTGTACGTTTAGGGTTTACAGGTATAGGAGTGTGAGGATAGCGTGAACATAGATCTTGCTCGTGGCTAAACCTGGGCTCCATCACAGATAAAGCCTGGCAACACATGATTATGGGTAAGGTCAGTGATCTATTATAAGTATATTGTTCGAACCATTCCATTTACTAGCTGCAAGGGTTATATAACAATATGCTCGTTTGTTTAGATGACTGACGACATGTTGAGTGGCTATGGATAGCACCTATTTTATGTACCGCTTTAGAACCGAAATGGGCGTTTCCGTTTGCAACAACTATTCGCTCCTTTGGACGCCGTCGTTATGCTAAGCATGTTCATTCGTCTGTTTGTGTTCGTATTAGCAAATCACGTCTCAATATCGATAAAATTAGTCTATGCAACATTTTTCAACGTATTAAA